TATTTGTGTTTTTAGTTCATTTAAATGTTATTTAGTTAGTTTTTTTTTATACCTTTCTTGATTGAGTATTTTATTAGAATGAAGTAATTTTTTGTTTGATTAAAAAATTTAAAAAAAATAAAAATAGTTAAAAGGGCCTAAAGCCCGCAGGGCCGGCCCTAAGCCCGCTATGTCAAGGGCCAGGCTTCGAATATCAGGGTCCTAAATGAAACTCAGGCTTAAAAAGGCTAGCCCTTTTAGGCCCGAGCCCTTCAAGGGCCGGTCCTACAGGGCCAGTCTGGCCCTTTTTGCCAGCTCTAACCACCATGGCGACTCCGCCACCTCCCACAACGTTCCCCTGCACTTCTCCACTGCACGGGTTTTGGATACTTTTTATTTGTGAAAAGTTATGAAAAGTGGTCAAAACGAGTTTGGGTGTTCAACTATTTGGTGTAACTTGTTTTGGAAATGAAACTTATGCCATTAGCTAGTTTATGAAAAGAGCTTTCGGTAAAGAGTTAGATCATGTCATTTGGACGTCGGATGGAGATTTGGAACATACCGAAAGTTGCTCAATTTTGTTGAGAAATGACAGCAAAATTTGCTATAAAAATGTTCAACACAAGACGGCACATTGACTTCTAAGCCATGGCATATGGCACAGAGAGCAACATATCAGGGCATGATATGCACAAGCCACGGTGCATTGCTCTATTTTTTTAGCAAACTTGATATTTTTTAACTGGTTTCAACTTCTTTTACTCCTTTACCATACTTCCATAACTTATTTATACTCTGATGTAAGAGTTTATGAATGATTTAGTCTCATTTTTATTATGAAAACTTGAGATCCCTTGATTTTGAAATAAAAACTTAGTAATCTCCTAAATGGGTTACTCCATTAGTTACTAAGAGTTTGATTAGTTAATGGCATTTAGTTGTGAATGATGTTTCATTTGACCTCTCAAAGGTTTGAAGTAACCAAGAAAATCCTACTTTAAGTAGTTTGTTTATTAATTGAGTTTTAATATAAAATGTGCATGTTTATATGTATGGTTAAATTCATGATTGTGAAAGCATGCTTTATACTTTGACGATTGAATAAATTATTGTTTAGTGCACATTTATGTTGCCTTGAGATATGCATTTGAAATTCAAAGTAATTTTCAAAACTATGAATATACATCTATATTGAAATGGGAAGTGTGATAAATATGTGACATAGAGTGATTATGTTTTAGATTGAAAATGATGGATTTATGTGAAAATGAGACCTGATGCTCACTTGGGTAGCGCACGGTCATGAGTCCAATGTGTGAACTTTGATAATGAATAAATGAAAATGTAAAAAATGAGTGAGGATCGTACATGGCATGATCAGTGGGTGGGACTTCACTTAGGGATAGGAGAAGAAAAAAATTCATATGGTATTTTGGCTGCCCTCTGGTGCATAAGGGCATAGCCTTATCCTATAGTTTGTCAAGGAACTAGAACTAGCTATCTCCACCAGTTTATCAAGGAGATTAGCTTAGGGTATATGACACCCTAAAGATTTAAGAGTCGAAAAAATTATGGTCCGAGAGTGAGTACTGTGATCTTTGGCTAGGTCACACCTTACAATTGGTGAGCTTAGGTAGTCCAGTCACACAAACGAAGCCCTATACAGTGTTATACAATTTCAATCATAAAAAATAAGGAGGGTATAATGATGAGTTGATCATTGGCTATGTAGATTTATGACATATCACATGATTGACTTGTGGCAAGTCATGTTGATATCAGGTCATGGTTACATGTCTGAGTGTCTTATGGTTATGTATCATGTGATTTAAAAAGAAAGTGAATTAGTTGAGAAGTGATATGTTGCGTAATGTGTGAAACAATATGATAATTCATGTTTCAAGAAAATATATTTCTCATACTCTTATGTTTATTTCAATTGATATATAGCTACATATGGTAAGTTTTACTTTGGTTCTTAAGTGGCTAAACTCACCATTTTCATTTAATATTTTATAGGCTCTAGCTCTGGTGCAGAGAGGGAGAAAGCTTGAAGGCTTAGATATTAGCACATTCCTATTGTACGCCTCTATTTGAAGCTAATTACTTTGTGTAATAGATTATTGTTGCCAATTCTAAGATACATTTCCTTGGTTGCACTTGCACTATAACATTGTTAAAATGTATGGTTGGTATTTTGGGCCCTCAGTTGCTGGTACTAATAAGTTGTAGATGTGATAGGGCCAAAATACAAGTGCAAGTGTAAAAATATTATTTTAGACACGATATGAGTAATTTTTGATGCAATGCAATGAAATTTCCTCTCCCTTCTCTTTTTAGTATTAAAGGGGTTGAGGAGTGATTTTGTGTTATACTAGTATTTATGTTCATGTGACGTGTTATATTAGTAGTCTTAGGTCCAATGAACATAGTCTAAATATTAGGAATAGCTTTTGGCACTTGTTATGGGTTTTGGACATCCTTTCATGTGTGAAAGTTGTGTAAAACGGTAAAAATATGTTTGGATGTCTAACTTCCTAGTGTGATATGTTTTGGAAGTGAAGCACATGCTATTAGCTAGTTTATGAAAAGAGCTTTTCATAAATACCTAGATCATGTCATTCGAACGTCAGATGAAGATTTGGGGCCGAAAGTTGCCCGATTTTGCTATCAAATAATAGCAAAATCTGCTATAAAAAATGTGTAACATGCCGCGACGCATTAGTGCTTGACCCAAGGCACATGGCATAGAGAGCAACAAGTTGCTTAGTAATCTCCTTAAAGAGTTAATCTCTTGATTACCTTGCTTTATGGTTTTCATGATGATTAGATAAGGTGGATATTTCAACTTCAGACACAATATTTATCTCGTTAGTAGGGAATAGGACCAATGCATATGGCACTTTTGGATCTTCAACCACCACTTTCACTTAATCATCTTGAATTTGTTTATGGTGGATGGTTGGTCGCAATTTGTGAAAGCTTCCTTAGGCTAGTTGCTCCTTAAGAGTATCCTACAATATAAAAATAACAATAATAATTAATAATATATACGATTGTATAAAATTAAAGGGATAAGAAAACATAATATTACTTATAGTCCTCTTAGCAATCCCATGTGCCCTCTCGATTGTATAACATCCTTTTTTGTATTGGTGTCAATATCTCCATTTGTCCTCTCGAGAGATAAGAGATAGTGAAGAAAGGACTATAAAAGGATTGGACCTAACTTCTTCTCTCTTCTTTTACTTCTCTACCATTAACATATCATCAATCCTAGCATAACCCTCACAAGACATTGTGTGGAGACATTGATTCTTTCAAGCAATTTCTTTCCCTTTAACTCATTTTTTCTATTAATAAATTGAATTTTTAATTTTATAATTGAAGTAAATTAAAACAAAATTTAAATCAATTAGAAATCAACTAACTAAAGTTTTTTAGTAGTGCAAATCCTGATGAATTCTTGCCAAGTATCTGGGTATGTCTCAAGAGGATTGGGCTTCAACATTCCTAACATATTAACTTTTAAGATGAAATTAATAAGGTTTAAGGTTCTCATTAATTCTGATAAAATATGATAAAAGTGGCTTAAAAATAAAATTAGATGGAACATTAATTAATTATGTTGCAAATTATAGTCCAGATAATCTTCAGCTGTAACACAATAGGACAAGTAGGAGCAATTTACCAACGCGACTAGCTATCCTGGAATCTTAAGCATGAGATAGATAACATACTCACTAAGAATATCCCCCGGAACCTTTTGTTTGGGCTTATGTGTTGGGACATTTAGACTTTGATGCAATAGGATCTTTGGTAATGAAGAGGTTGCAACAATAACTCTTCTCTTATGTGCATTTTTCGTGCTACCATGGATATGATACTGCTTAATTCTTGTTTACTGAAACTGAGTGGTAGGAATAACTCTTCAAAATTGGCTCCCCCTGGGGTTGGTTTTGTTAAGTTAAACACTGACGCATCTATTTTGGAGAATAAGGAAGAGTGCTTGTGGTAGGATTGTAAGAGATCAAAATGGAAATTGGATTATAGGGTTCTATTGTCCATTAGACCCATTTCCAAGTACTATTGCTCTAGTTAAAGGGTTATCTAAAGGTTTGGAATGTTATTAGGATTTTCGCTTAAGGCAAGTTGAAGTGGACAACGGTTACATTGAAGCTTTGAATCTAACCTGATTCTTGAGGGCATGCAACATTACAAATCACACTTTTCAGGATGTCATCAACCAAGTTGGAGGGGAGGGGTGGGATTTAGAAGGCAAATGAATATGCATATATTTTAGCTAACTTTTCTCATGATTTAGATTTTCCTTTTTAAGCATTTGACAATTATTGTAGTAAGATGGTGGATGATGAAATGTTGATTAGATTTACACGATTTGATATATTCAATTACTTGTCCTCAATGGCAGAGCCACTTGGCTGAGGATGGATAAATGCACTTTTTTATTTTGAGAAAAATTATAAATAAGGTATGTAAATTTTACAACTTTACATCTATACTTTTAATATTTTGCACTCTTTAAACTAAATAAAAAAATATTTAAATTCAAAAGCTTATTAAATATATAATATTTTAATAATGAGATAAGATATGAAAAATATATTTACATATAAGATCATATTAACATGTTTAATATAGTTTTTTAAAAAAATAATGATGAATCTATTTATATTATTATAATTTTAATCATACTGTAATTATTAGTTTTTGAACAAATTATTAATTTTTAAATTAAATTATCTTGGTCCTCCTTGTTCTTTCTTGTTTGTTATTAATAAAAGTTTGCATGTTTATTCAAAAAAAATTACAATCCAAGAGAAATTATGCTGAAAAGTGAAAACGCCACATCCGCGTTCGGTGCTTGTAACCCTGATGAACACCGAGTGCTTCTCACCCCAAACAATGATATTTGCTGCATTTAGTTAATTTAACGGTAAAGATCATTTTAAAATAAAATGAAAGGTTAAGATCATTGTGTGTAGTGATGAGCATAAAATAGGAACACGAAAACGCGTTCGTCATGAGATCAAAGAAGAGAAACGAGGAAGAGGTCAGGTTATTTCCTCTTTCCAGTGATTCCGTGGGCAAAGCGTGTTGAGAAATTGCGGAGAAAGACCCAACGAATAGACACAATTATTTATGATGACTTGGGTTGGAAATTTGATTCCGAAGGTCACTGAGCAGAATCTGATTCCATTGATCCCAGATTATTGGCCATGGATGATTTCGACCACAGTCCATCATCAAGGCCGATCGATCTCTATATCAGTTTTAGAGGAGTTGACGACTTCGACGCCTGTAAATTCATCTATCCCCTTTTTGCTGCTCTCAAGAGTGCTCTCGAAATCGACGGCTTGAGTGCTTTCTGGGACGACAAGAAGCTCGAAACAGCGAATTCTGACATTCCGCCTCATCATCTCCGAGCAATTCAACAATCCTGCATCTCCGTTGTGGTCTTCTCCAAAACCTTTGCTTCTTCTGTATGGTCCTTGCAGGAGCTTTCAGAGATTGCTGCTCGTATCAATGATCGGCGACACACTATTATACCAATTTTCTATGATGTGGATCCATCTGAGGTACGAAAACAGAAGAATGCCTACAAACAAGCCTTTGCTGAACATGAAGAAAGGTTCCCAGCAGATTTAGACCAGATAAACAGGTGGAGGAACGCTATGACTCAAGTAGCCAATCTGTGCGGTTGGCATGTACCATATGAGTAAGTAATTTTGCTCATCAACACGCCAATGGTTACTTTTATTCGAGTAACTGTTCATCAATTAACAGAATACACTGTTAAAATGGATAAATCAATGTATCTCTCAGGTTCAGCTTTCCTACTTACATCTAGGGAGGACACGAATTTGATTAATTTGGGATTTCTGTTTGTACTTTCTTCAGCGCAGAATCAATTAGCAGAATACACTTTAAAAATGAGTAAATTAATTAGGGTTCACTCACTTTGGGGGGAAAACAAATTTTGAGTAATTTTACTGTCGAGTTTGACCATGGTCATGTTGGCCTATTAAGTCTCGGCAAGCAAAATTGTACATATATGTATTTGAGTAATTGTTGATCAGTTAGCAGAATACACTTTCAAGTTTCAAAATGAGTAATTCAATCTTGGTTACACATTCACTGTTATGTAGGACGCAAATTCGATTAATTTGTTTTTTTTTCCCCCCAGCCCAGGGTCATCATACTCGAAAGTTATTGATGATATCACCACAGATGTTAAGAAAAAAATGGGAGGAGTTATTAAGTCATATGAAGGAGATGGTATTTACCAAGTTAGATTGTTGACAAAGGAACAAGCTCTTCAACTCTTTTGTAAAACAGCTTTCAGACGTGATTATCCTGTAAGTGGTTATGAAGATCTGACCAACAGATTACTTGAACATACCAATTGCCATCCCTTGGCTGTTGTAATTTTGGGTTCATTCTTACATAAAAAAAGTGTTACAAAATGGAGGAGTGCCTTGAATCGGCTACCGAGAATTCCTGATAACCAGCAGATAATAATGGACGTGCTTAAGATAAGTTTTGATGATTTAGATGACAGGACTAAGGAAATCTTCTTGGACATTGCATGTTTCTTTGCAGGAAAGGACATTAATCATGTGAAGGAAATTTTGCAGCATTGTGGTTTTTCAGTAGATATTGGAATTGAAGTTTTGATTGAGAAATCATTTATGACCATTTCAAATGAGAGAATTAGAATGCATGATATGTTGCTAGAAATGGGAAAAGAAATTGTTCAACAGGAATCTCCTCTTGAGCCAGGAGAACGAAGTCGGTTGTGGCTTTTTGATGATATAAATCATGTTATGCAAGAAAACACAGTGAGTTTAGCTTGTCATTCTTTTTTTTTTTTGGGTGCGAAATGGTAAGTTTGCCCTTAAACTATGGAATTAGAAGCATTTGGGATCTTAAAATTATTTGTGATGCAATGCTTCCCTCCAACTATTAACAATGGTGCAATATTGCCCCTTTAATTAACAAATATTAACTTTAATCATTAGTTGACTAAAAAAATATAAAAAAAAATGACTTCAAAAATTAGAGAAAATGACCAAGAAAATTTTCTTGATCATTTTTTATAATTTTTTGGATCATTGTTTGTAATTTTGAGTTCTTTTCTATAATTGTTTAATCAATTAACAGTTAAAATTAATTTTTGTTAATAATAAGAATAGCATTGCACCATTTTTAAAGTTAAAAGGGAAATATTGCGTAAAAAATGAGTTACCTAGACGCTTTTGAACTTGATTTGAGGGTGAAATTGCTTTTGAACTCTTTTTCAGAATTTAACATTATGAATATACAAAAATAAACTAATCTAACTTTTTATTATTGCTATGTTAATGATTTTATCCCCAGGCTTCAGAGAAGGTTGAAGCTATAGTGTTGAACTTGGAAGATTCAGAAGGGACTACTTTGAAGATTGAAGCTTTAGCACAAATGACTAACCTCAGAGTCCTCGTGCTTGAGAATGTAAATTTTGCTGGAACTCTCACCAGCCTTTCCAACAAGCTGAGATATGTTTCATGGCATCAATACCCTTGTACGTGTTTGCCATCAAATTTCGAGTCTTTTTCACTTGTTGAATTGATCATGCCTTACAGCAATGTCACAGAAATATGGGAAGGCAAAAAGGTATATTAACTTCCTTTTATCTATTTTCTGTAATTAATGCAAAAAATAAAAATGAAAACAGAGTTTAGTAATTCAATCAAAACCTGAATGGATATAGATATCTTTAACTTGCTATATTTTTGAAGTACTATTGTAAGTACTCTTTATCCCATCTTTTTACATAATCCCCTTGGTCCATCTTTTTACATACTCCCTTGGTCCCTATAAGGCTACTTTTAGAAAAATTATTTAATCTACATGACTGGTCATTTATTACAATTTTCAATTTTGCCCCTACCATAAATTTAATTTTATGGCTATTCATATACCTTGTACTTTTCTCTTTCTATTTTTTATAAGGATAAAGTTGAGAAAAATTATTTTAAGATATATTTAATGAGTTAACTAACATTTAGTTGAAAGCACCTTATAATAGGAGACTGGAGGGAGTGTATTTATAACTCATGTTCTTGACTGTCATGCTTATTCTCATTCACAGGTGTTTCCAAATTTGAGAAATATGAACTTCCATGGCTCCAAAGCTTTGATTGGGACACCAGATTTTGGAGGAGTTCCAAATCTGGAGAGACTAGACCTTGAAGGATGCATTGGATTGTTGCAACTTCATCCATCAATTGCCAAACTTTCAAAGCTCAACTTCTTAAATTTGAGAAACTGCATTAATCTTGCTCAGATCCCCAAAGACATGTTTAGTCTTCCCTCTCTGGAAGATTTAAATATCATTCGCTGTCCAAAATTGAACATTGTTTGAGAGCTCGGAATAATTGAAACAACCCAGCAATGAATATTGTCTGTATATTTTCATCTCTTTCTTTTGCATCTGTCTCTTTCCTTTTCGTGTACTTCCACTATGGTTTATACTTCTTTGATGTATGAGATCAAAGCCATTTTTACATTGAATTACTACTAATCTTCACATTCATGTTTATGCTTGTTAATTTAAATCATCATTTATGAAGTTTCAATCATTCTTTTATCAATTTATAGGATTCCTCATGGGACAATATCCCTTATTTATTGTCACTATATTATTTACTCGACTCATGCACTTGTAGTACTAATTTCTAATCAAACAAAATGCAATCAATTAATATCATTAGTACTTGTTTTTGGGGAAAGGCGGTAGAGACAGGGGTGTTCAACCAAGGGCATCATGGTTGAAGGCTTTTCTACAAAAAAGTAGTAGAGCTTCATGATCCTTCAAGAGTTCAACCTTGTAGATTTCACCTACATCACAGGATTCTAGTAGTATATGCTCATCTTTAGATGTTATGATGATTCTATTTCCTTCGGCAAACGGGAGAAAATCTCTACACAAGTACTCCAATTGATGTCCATGCTCAACATTATCAACAACAAGAGCTTTATGGCAAGAAAGCCACTATCTTAGGATATTCATACCCTCATAACTGTCTAGTACCTCTCAATTCTTTTCCGACATTATTTGATAAATGACTTGTCGATGTAGGTGGAACATACCGAAGCGTTTTGCAACTCCTCCTACATCAAGGAGGAAACTAGAAGCATCAAATTGATGAGAGATCTTGTACAAAACTGCAGCTAGAGTAGTCTTCCCTATTCCTGGCATTCCCCAAATGCCTACTACTCGAACTTCATTAGATTCTAAATTTAGAAGTTTTTCTAAAGCTTCCACTTGGGATTGCATCCCAATAAGATCACCATCAAAACTTGAGAATCTATGCCCCAATTTGCTCATTGTTTCGTCAACAATTTTGTCAATCACTTCTGACTCTAATCTAAAAAAAAAACAAAAACACAAAAACCATATAATCATCACTCGAGAAACCAATGAGGTAAATGCTAAATGAACATGAATATTGGAATTTTTTTACATTAATCACAAACTAAAACTTGTCACTACACTGAAGCTCAAGTTGTTTTTTTTTTTGGAAGGACTCACCATACACTTGTATAATTGTGATCAATTCACTAATCACTTAAGGCCTGTTAGGTTTCTATTTTTATTTTTGATTCTTAAAAATTGTTTCGTAATACAGTTTTTATAGTTGTTTTTCAAAACAAACTAAAATAAAAATTCATTTGATTATATTAATTTTAAAAATAGCTTTAAAATTAAAAAAATAAGATAACAGTGATAGTTGTAGGAAAATAATGGTGCGGTTTATGATAGAAATTGGTTAAGCTAATTATATTTTTCAATAATAAGATGTAGTGTGTTTTGAAAAATAAGAAAAATAAAATGAAAATAACTTTAAGATGTTTTCATTTTTTTTTCAAAAACCAAAAATGAAAGTAGTTTTAAAAATAATTAAATCCAAAACATTTATTCAATTGAGTTTTTAAATTTTTTCTTTTTTAAAAACCAAAAACTATTTTTAAAAACAGTAACCAAAGACCCTTAATGTGAGACTACTGTATATGTAATAATGAACAAGAGAAGATTGTTTACTTAGTCAATATGTAATAGTCCTCACCTTACCCCACTAGGGGTCTCTTGGACTGAGCCTACTCACATCACTGCAGCGAAGGCCAACTTTCCCTAAAATGGTACTTGGGTTATTCCTCATCCCACCAAAAAAGTCTTTTAGAACCTTTCCGAACTCAAACCCCCAACCTTTACCACCTTAAGAAAGTTGAGGCTAATTTGCTACCATTGAGTCAACCAGTTGTAACATCCTGGTTTTTAATTTCTTGATTTCTAAGCTTAATTAAGGATAATTAAGTAAGTTGATGTAGTGTATGGTCAAAATAAGTATTTTTAGTTGAAATTTTAGATATAATATAGGTTCAAAGTGAAATTGGGTCACCAAAAGACCAAAAAATGGAGAAAAACAAGCTAAAAAACCTCTACATCACATGCCACGACACGTGCGAGGTGCACCGCGGTACACAGGGCCATGAAATAAGAATCGCCTTCTCTATAACACATGCCGCGGCACTTGGGGGCAGGTGCCGCAGCGTACAATGTGAATTCTGCAAAAATAATGCATGATCTGATGTGAAAAACAAAAGGGAAGAAAAGGAAAATGAAGGAAACGCACATTTTCTTGCTAGGACACGACTGAGGAGAGGATTTGAAAAGGTTTGAAGCTCCAAATCATCTAAGGTAAGATCCTTAAACTATTCTTCTCCTTTTCTCTTCAATTTTCTCAAGGATTTAAGTTAGGGTTTGATAGTAGAAGTAGATTTTTGGTCCATATGGGGTATAGGTTCAAACCTATTGACTTAAATGGAGTAAATGGGAGTTGTTTAGAGTATATAAATCTAGTATTAATGATTTTGGTAGTGGTTGAAAGATGAGCTCCATTAATATTTGAAATTGCATTTATATAGGTGGTTGGAAGAGTGTGATACCATTAATGAGAATTTAGTAGTTCATTAATATTATTAGGGACTAAAGAAGGATAATAAACCCAATGGATAGGCTCAAACTCATGTAGAGCGAACATTAGGCAATTTAAAAGTAGAGGATTGAGGGTTTAATGCTTGAGATGGTAATGTTGATGAAATTCAACTTGGTTGATTGTAGTTTTTGGCTTTTGGTCACCTATTTGGCTTGGAATTCAAGTTTGGAAGCTCTTATATTAAGGGGTAAACTTTTGACCTCTCAAAGGTTTAAAGTAACCAGGGGAACCTTATTTTGGGTAATTATATGTTAATTGTAATGTGAATTGTGTGTTTATTATGAAAATTATGATTTGTGAAATTGAGTTACATGCATTGAAATTTGGTATTCTGGTAATTGTGTGATATGTATTAAACATGTGAAAGTGGTTTCTAAATGAGTTTTGAAGGGATAAATGTGGTGTTCGAAAAGCATTTATCTTTCCAATGTATTGTGAATGAGTGATTGATGATGAATATGTTAAAGACGATATGTTATAATGGAAAATGAGAATTTTTGCTCACTTGGGTAGCATACGATCGTGAGCCTAACGTATTGATTGATTTTATGTAAATGAAAATGTGGAGATAAGTGAGTATGTTTATGACATGATCAGTGAGTAGGAGTTTGCCTAGGGATTAGGAGTAGAGAAAAATTCATATGGTATTTAGGATGCCCTCCGGTGCACGGGGGTATAGCCTTGTCCCACAATTTATCGAGGGATTGTCCTATAGTTTGTCGAGGGACTAGAACCTAGCTTTCTCTACCAGTTCAATAAGGAGAATAGTCTAAGGTATGAGACACCTCAGAGATTTAAGAATGGGAGAAGCCGTGGTTTGAGAGTAAGTCATGTGATCTTTAGCCGAGTCAGACCTCATGATTAGTAAGCTTGGGTAGTCCAGTCACATGAACAGAGCCTTATTCAATGTTATAACCCACGATTTTAGTCTGAAAAAATAAGAAGGTTATAAGGTTAGTTGATCATTGCTTATACAAATATATAATGTGTCACACATGTTGAGTTATGGCAAGTTATGTGAATAAGGGATCATGTCACATATCTGGGAATATAGTGACAACACACCTAGGATATGTGAGATAAAGAAGTTATTAAATGAGAAATGATGAGTTATGATATGTGTAAGTATGTTTTAAGTGCTTGATTTCATATGCATGTGCTTGTTTTATAATTGATATATAACTGCATAAGGTAGGTTTTACCTTCGTTACTGAGTGGCTAGACTTACCCTTTTCATTTAACATTTTTCAGGTTCTAGCTCTAGTGTTGAGAGGGAGAAGACTTGGGAGGCTAGGAATTAGCATATTCCTATTGTATGCCTTTAGTTTAGATTTATTTTGTATAATAGCATATGATTACTAGTTCTAGGTTGCATGCTATTATACTTATATTATTTTGTTGTTGTAAATGTTTGATTTGTATTTTGGGCCCTAAGTATTTGTGTATATTGTTATATATATATATATATATTAATAGAGCTGAAATACTAGTACAAGTGTAAAAATGATGAATTGAATATGTTTTAATTGGCTTGGATGTAATACAATGCCAATTTGCCTCCCCCTCTATTTTTGGTAAAAAGGGGTTAAGAAGTGAATTTCTCTTATACTATGGGTGATGTGTTGTACTAGTAGTCCTAAGTCCAATGAACATGGTTCAAGTGTTAGAAAATATTTTTGGCACATGTTGAGGGTTTGGACACCCATTTTGATTGAAAGTTGTGAAAAGTGGTTAAAATATGTTTAGGTGTTCAACTTCCTGGTGTGACTTGTTTTAAAAGTAAAACCCATACCTTAGCTAGTTCATGTAAAGAGTTTTACATAAACACCTAAATCACATCATTCAGACGTCGGACGGAGAATCAAGGCGCATCGAAAGTTCCTTGATTCTGTTGTCAAATGACAACAAAATTTGCTGAATTTTTGTGCAACATGCTACGGTGCGTGGCATAGAGAGCAACACGCCATGGTGCAGTGTGCACAAGCCACAATGCATTACCTTGTATCACAGCATATGTTTTGTTTTTTAGTCGTCTTTGAATTCTTTCACTCCTGTGAGGTATCCTACACTTCTAAAACTTGTTTTTACTCTCATACAAAGGATTTTGATTAATTTAAACTTATTGTTATTTAAAAAACTTAGGATCCCTTGAATTTAGACTAAAGCTTGATAATTATTTTTATGTTTTAATCTTTTAATTACCATGAGTTTTAATGTTAATTGTGTTTAATAGAGTGAGAATTTACACCATACATCCTAACCAGAGAGAGTTAAAACTTGAGTCAAAGCTATCCTCCATCTTTATACCTTCTTTATGTTATCACTGTAGTTTCCCTCATGTTTATCAAAGGCTTCTTTGAAATTTCCACTCTAATTTTATACCTCTAATGGATCCACATCTTAGAAAACTAGAAAAACCATATGCCTTGATTTTAAAACTTCCTCAAAGATCTTTGCTAGTTCTTCCAAACATCATGTTGAATCAGCATACTTTTTAGAGAAGACCATAATAGAAATTTAGGGATGCTCAATTGCT